CCCAACAACACCCTCTTGTGGAGTATAGCCTGGGTAGATCATCAAGTTATTATTTATTTTGTGCTGAAGACCTACCTCTGCTGCACCAAAAGAATATCCATACATCTCACTGATCCATCCTTTCCCATAGATGTCACCAGTTATTAGTTGTCCAGTGAGCTCTATCTTCCTGCACTTCTTCTGTTTTTGAAAGCCACACGGGTGCCAATGCTCGAAGATCATCTATATGCATGGCCAAAAGCCCACCAACTTTATCACAGAGTTTAGGGTGCTTTGTGTGCAGTCGAGCGAGAAGATTATCGCGTCCAACCAAGTACCCATAGTATGCTGCAATAGGCTTGCCTTTCTCAGCACCAAGTTCCTAATGAACAATCGGCTCGCGGATAATCATGTCAACATCCGGAATCACAACCCAATCAACATTCTCAGCCTCCTTACTGTGCTTAAGCCAGTGCACAACTCCAGCTGGTTTGTTAATTGCAGGGTACCAGTCGCCAGTTTTTGGGTGTCTGCTCATGGAAGAAACCTCAAAAGTGGGAGCCAAATGCATCCCTTTGTACTACTTCTTCTCGTCGTCGGTGCAGCTGAGGAGCCGGGTAATCGGACCAGGTTGCCGGGCTTTCCGGTAGCTGTGCATCAACCCGACAGTCTGCCAGTCGAAGTTGTTCTGGCACTCCACCGGGAACAGCGTGTGCACCTTCCTCGCCGTCGTTCCCGGAGCCTCCCGACCCGTCTCCCCCACCCAACTGCCATCAATGCACATACCCACCAACGCCGCCGCCACCAAGACCAAGAATCCGGCCATTGCAGCTCAATTGGAGGTCCGATTTCAAAAGGGTACGTGGCCAGAGATCTGAACTTTCATGGACGGATAGCTGACGGGGGTGAAGAATGTGAGGATCAAGACGGAGATTGATCCGAGCCTGGTGGCGGGGTTCACGCTGAGATCAGAATATTCCCCTTCTGGGATTTCTTTGCAACTGATGAAGCACGCATGTGGAGGCCAGCGAGGAGAAGCATAAGGGAGCACATGGGGGACAACGCAAAAGAAAAAGAAAAGAAAAAGAAGATGTCTGGAGAAAGCAAAAGCAAAAATAAGAAGCGGTGGAAAAAAAGAACAAGAGAAAGCAAAAGAAAAAAGAGCAAAGCAGAAAAGAGAATAAAATCTGAGAGATTATGATTTGAATGAGCAGGACCGCAAGTGGTAAGCGAGAAATGGTAAAGAAGAGATTAATGATTAATTGGGTGCACATGCATGACAGAGAGACAGAAAGAGATGCCTAGTACGCAGTAAGTGTAGTACGCACCAACGATCTGCAACTGTCGAAACCTTTATTTTTGAATGATGTAATTTATTTTTCGTATCTTTCAGAAATATCTGTATAAACCTCATCAAAGGGTAAAAAAAAAAAAAAAAAAAAAAACGGCAAAACCCAAAATAAATGGGCTGAAATGTTGTGTGGAGGGCGAAGGCCATTAGGCCCAAAATAGCACCAACCAGGTGATCAAAAGTACGCCCAGTACTCCACAATTATTCGGCAACCTGCCTCTATTATCAACCAGGTGCAAAGTCAAAGTACGCTCAGTACTCCATAATTATTCGGCAACCTGCCGCTATTATCACCAACCAGGTGATCAAAAGTACGTAGTCAATTATCAAATTCGCCCTGCCTTATATCGGTACCTGCCTAATATTTCAAAATTCCAACGTATTCGCAACCTGCATATTACCACAGGTGATAAATGTACATACCCGCAACTACTCATATATACCAAACATTATTCCGCATGAAATCGTACTCAATATGGTGATGATTAAAATGGTTACAACCTGTACTCTAATATCATTTGGCAACTTGCCACTCATACCACCAACCAGGTGAAGAAGGAACTCATCTTTATGAGCATGAGCACTACTCATGTCAATCATACATAAACATTCATGAGCATCACTCATATCAATCATACATAAACATTCATGAGCATCACTCATGTCAACATTCATGAGCATCACTCATGACAACATCTATGAGCATCACTCATGTCAACCAACATATACATTCATGAGCATCACTCATGTCAATCAGCTTCAAAAGCTTCATTTACAAAGCTCTAGCTTCAAAGCTTCATTTACAGAGCTCTAGCTTCAAAAGCTTCATTTACAAAAGCTCTGGCTTCAAAAGCTTTATTTACAGAGCTCCAGCTTCAAAGTTTCACTTGCAAAGCTTCACCTACAAAAGCTTTAGTGCAGGGTATACAAATACCACCTCCGAACAACCGCCACTTCGGCCCATACATGGATTCAATTTGAAGTCTCCAGCCAACAGACTCTATTGACCGAAGACTTGGGGGACTACATTATGTACCATATATTGGGCCTCAACTGGGCCTCATGAAAAATACTTGGGGGACTTAGCCCATTATTTATGTATTGAGGAGCGATCCCTTATTTTATAAAAGGGACTCCCTCACCTTTATTAGAGAGCAACCGTCTCGCCGCGAGCATCACTCCTAGCCCATCACTTATGTATTAAGGAGCAATCCCTTATTTTATAAAAGGGACTCCCTCACCTTCATTAGAGAGCAACGCCACCAGCTGAGCAACCGCTTCGCCGCCAGCATCATTCCTAGCCCATCACTTATGTATTGAGGAGCGATCCCTTATTTTATAAAAGGGACTCCCTCACCTTCATTAGAGAGTAACACCGCCAGCTGAGCAACCGGCTTGCCACGAGCATCACTCCTAGCCCATCACTTATGTATTGAAAAGCGAGCCCTTATTCTATAAAAGGGACTCCCTCACCTTCATTAGAGAGCAACGCCGCCAGCTGAGCAACCGCCTCGTCGCGAGCATCACTCCTAACCCATCACTTATGTATTGAGAAGCGAGCCCTTATTCTATAAAAGGGACTCCCTTACCTTCAACGCCATAAGTCGAGCCAACCAGGGCAACATAAGCCACGAGCCAAGCAGCCTCGCAGCATGTGCTACTTCTAGTTGAGCATCATTTCAGATTGAGTACCGCCCCATATCGAACATCAGTTCAAGACAACATCTAGTTACTTTGGCCCACACATGGACTGAATTTCAAGTCTCCAGCCAAAAGACTTTCTTGACTGAAGACTTGGGGGGCTACTGTTTATACCATATTTAGGGCATCGTATTTAGATCTCGTACAAATACTCGGGGGACTTAAATGTAATTATGTGATAAAGGAAGGGGTAAATATGTAATAAGTGAGAAGTCCTTATTCTATAAAAGGACCCCTCACCCTCACAATTAAGGGAGGCCAATTCCTAGGCCCTCTCACCCCCTCTCAACGCTCTCACTCTCAGAGCTCTCTCTCCCTCAAATAAATACATAATCAATGTGGACGTAGCCCAAACCTTGGGGTGAACCATGATAACTCTTGTGTTATTTACATTTCATGCAGATTAACGGTCGGATTTACGTTGTTCCAAGACCTCCGGTTTTGTGCATCAACAATTGACATTAATCATCATAGAATTAATCATTTCAGTGAGTGTCTTATTTTTCCTTTCTACCAAGCCATTTTGTTGTGGTGTATAGGGTGTAGTTCTTTGATGTATAACACCATGCTCTTCACAAAAAATATCAAATTCATGTGAAAAATATTCACCACCTCTATCACTACTAAGGCATTTAATTTTCCTTCCCTTTTGGTTTTCAACGTCAGCTTTATAACGCTTAAAACACTCAAAAATTTCATCTTTATTAGACAATAAATAAACATAAGTGAACTTAGAACAATCATCTATAAATGTGATAAAATATCTTTTTCCTCCTTTTGTTAAAATACCATTGAATTCACATATGTCAGAATGTATTGAATCTTGTTTATACCATACTTAGGGCCTCCGTATTTAGACCTCGTACAAATACTCAGGGGACTTAAATGTAATTATGGGATAAAGGAATGGGCAAATATGTAATAAGTGAGGAGCCCTTATTCTATAAAATGACTCCTCACCTTCACAATTAGAGGATGCCATTTCTGGAGCCTTCTCACCCCTCTCACATCTCCTCTCATATTTAGAGGTTTTTTCCCTAACCTCTCAGATAAATACATAATCAATGTGGACGTAGCCAAAACCTTGGGGTGAACCACGATCCATCTTGTGTTATTTACATTACTTGCAGATTCATGGTCGGATTTACGTTGTTCCAAGACCTCCGGTTTTGTGCATCAACATTTGATGCCGTCTGTGGAAATCGACATGAAAAGTTATGTCAGTTCTCTCTCAATTTTTCACATCCACCGTGAATCTGCATAAACACCAAACCAAAATCCCAATCCCATCTCTCTCTCTAGAAACCCAGAAATGGGTAAGCAGACACAAGATATTTTCAAATTTGAAAATCCTGATGGGTTCCCTTTCAGTATAAGCTCACTTTCTCGCAAGAAATGCTCATCAAAGTTGTTATCTTTACTTTTCATATGTCATAAAACTCACCCAGTAATCAATGGGCGACGCCGATTGATAAAATTCTTTGAATTTCTGCGTGCTCTGCTCGTTTTCTTAACTGGGTTTTCTCCAATTTTTTAACTTTACGAATGCCCACATAGGATTGAGACTTGATCGAACTGCAGCGAAGGTTTTGTGGAAGTGATTGGAGAATAGGGACTATGGAATCAGAGCTGGGTTTAATCGAGCAGTCGTTCATCAGCTGCTACTTGCTCTGGGTCCAGGAAGCTCTGGGGGAATTGCCCGATAGCTTCACGATCACTGACCCTTGGATTTCTGGGCACCCAATCGTGTTCGCGAGCAAAGAGTTCCTGAAAATGTCGGGATATTCGAAGAACGAGGTGGTCGGGAGGAACAACAGAGTGTTTCAAGGTCCGAGGACTTGCAGGCGGTCGTTCATGGAGGTCCGGAAAGCCATTAGGGAGGAGCGAGCTGTTCTAGTTAATTTGCTGAATTCTCGGAAAGGCGGGACGCCCTTTTTGATGATGTTTCATTTGTGTCATGTTTTTGAAAAGGATCAACCTTTACATGAAGCCCCAATTTCGAATTCGCAGTCGCTCTCTCTCGTCGCAGCCCTTCGTTCTCAGATCAAGCGAAATGGCAGGTCACAAGTTTGCTCATGCCACATTGAAAGGTCCAAGTGTTGTCAAAGAGATATTGTATGGATCAGTGCTTGTTTTGGCTTGTGGAAGTCTGTGGAAAATGCATCACTGGAATGAGCAGAGGAAAGTGAGGGCGTTCTATGACTTGCTCGAGAAGGGTGAAATCAGTGTTGTCGTTGAAGAATAGTTATTCGCGGTTCCGACCATGAATCCAACACCCAGTTAATCATTTCTGACTCCGGGAGACAGTACTATACATTTTGGCTCTTTACAACTTTTCGGTGTAATCTGTCAAGCACACAATTTGTGGATATGAATTTCTGTGCAATCAATTACTATGCTGAGGTGTATCTAAATGGGCACAGAAAAGACCTGCCAAGAGGGATGTTTCAAAGGCATTCTCTTAACGTCACTGATATAGTGCTTCCCAATGCTCAGAATTTGCTTGCTATTCGTGTTTATCCCTCAGATAATCTAGGGACTATTCCTCCTGAGGGAGGGCAGGGTGGCGATCACGAGGTACAGATCTAAATACGCCATCAGATCCAAAAAGGTCAGTTTTCTGATCCAGGGCAAGAGTTTTTTATGAGAAAACAGCAGCAGCAATTCGGGTTTGCTCAAGGGATGCAGACGGAAGGCTTCAATTCCGTTGCCTCATACGCCATGGGCTCCACCGCCTCAGTCTCTTCTAAGCATGTCGAACTAGACGGTGGGAATCATGTAGAGGAAACCGGGGACAAAAATTACTTTAGACAGTTCAAGAATATGGAATGGCTGGTGAAAATTCTCGACTCTTTGCATCCCTTGATCAAGAGGGCCCATGATCAGCCCAGTACCTCGACAAATTGCAGGGAAGCTAGTGCAGATCAAAGATACTTTGTATGCTGCAGACAACCTGCTGGATGAGATCAATGACCCATCCTCTGCATCTTCATTTTCTGAGAAAGCAAAAGAAAAAAAAAAGAAAAAGAGAAAAGACGATAGAAACAAAAGCAAAAGCAAAGCAAAAGGAGAGAAGAGAATAAAATCTGAAAGATTGGGTTTTTTACTGAGCACATGCAGGATAGCAGCGCAGAGACAGATACAGAGAGAGAGGTGTGCTGGAAAAGTAAAAGCAGAAAGCAAAAGCAAGGAGTAAAAACCCACAAGAATGATGTGATTTACTTTTCTTATTTTTATGATGTATTTTTCCTATCTTTCGGAGACATCTGTATAAACCCCATCAAAGGGTAATATGTATAAACCCCATCAGAGGATAATATGTATAAACCCCATCAGAGGGTTAAAAAAAAAAAACGGCAAAGCCCAAAATAAATGGGCTGGCATGTTGTGGAGAGTGAAGGCCCATAAGCCCAAAATAGCACCAACCAGGTCATCAAAAGTGCATCCAGTACTCTACAATTATTCGGCAACCCGCTGATATTACCACCAACCAAGTAACCAAAAGTACGCCCAGTAGTCCACAATTATTCGGCAACCCGCCGCTATTACCACCAACCAGGTGACCAAAAGTACGCCTAGTACTCCAAAATTATTCGGCAACCCGCGGCTATTACCACCAACCAGGTGATGAAATGTACAACCCATACTCTAATATCATTTGGCAACTAGCCATTCATGCCACCAACCAGGTGATGAGATGTACAACCCGTACTCTAATTTGGCAACTAGTCATTCATGCCACCAACCAGGTGATGAAATGTACAACCTGTACTCCCCTTCATGCCAACCAGGTGATCAAAAGTATGCCTAGTACTCCAAATTATACATGAGCATTACAAATGTCATTCATACATAAACATTCATGAGCATCACTCATGACAATCATACATAAACATTTATGACCATCATTCATGTCAACATTCATGAGCATCACTCATGACAACATCCATGAGCATCACTCATGTCAATCAACATAAACATTCATAAGCATCACTCATGTCAATCAGCTTCAAAAGCTTCATTTACAGAGCTCTAACTTCAAAGTTTCACTTGCAAAGCTTCACTTACAAAGCTTCAATGCAAGGTATACAAATACCGCCTCCAAACAACCAGTACTTCAGCCCATACATGGATTCAATTTGAAGTCTCCAGCTAACATGCTCTATTGACCGAAGACTTGGGGGACTACATTGTGTACCATATATTGGGCCTCAACTGGGCCTCATGAAAAAAAACTTGGGGGACTCTAGCCGATCATTCATGTATTGAGGAGCGAGCCCTTATTCTATAAAAGGGACTCCATCACCACCATTAGAGAGCATAAACTCTAGCCCATATTTATGTATTGAGGAGCGAGCCCTTGTTCTATAAAAGAGACTCCCTCACCACCATTAGAGAGCATCAACTCTAGCCCATATTTATATATTGAGGAGCGAGCCCTTATTTTATAAAAAGGACTCTCTCACTATCATTAGAGAATATCGCCGCCTACTGAGCAACCGTCTCGCCGCGAGCATCAACTCTAGCCAATCATTTATGTATTGAGGAGCGAGCCCTTATTCTATAAAAGGGACTCCCTCCCCTTCAACACCACAAGTCGAGCCAACCAAGGCAACATAAGCCACGAGCCTTGCAGCCCCGCAGCATGTGCTACTTCTAGTTGAGCATCATTTCAGATTGAGCACCGCCTCATATCGAGCATCAAGTTCAAGACAACATCTAGTTACTTCGGCCCACACATGAACTGAATTTCAAGTCTCCAGCCAAAAGACTTTCTTGACTGAAGACTTGGGAGACTACTATTTATACCATATTTAGGGCCTCCGTATTTAGACCTTGTACAAATACTCAGGGGACTTAAATGTAATTATGGGATAAAGGAAAGGGCAAATATGTAATCAGTGTGGACGTAGCCCAAACCTTGGGGTGAACCACGATACATCTTGTGTTATTTACATTACTTGCAGATTCACAGTCAGATTTACGTTGTTCCAAGACCTCCGGTTTTGTGCATCAACAAATCTAATAAATTTGTATTTCTTTCGGCAGTTGGAAAATGTTTCTTAGTCACTTTCGCTTGAATACATGTTTCACATTTATCATTATAATCATCATTGCAAGCAATTAAACCAAGTGTGTGCATGTATTTTAAAGATCTAAAATTTATATGTGCTAAACGTAAATGCCATAAATGAGAGGAAGATTCAATAATATAAGCAGAAGAATTCACTTTATTATTAATACTTAGTTTGAACATCCCATTACAAGAATACCCCTTCCCAGCAAACATCCAATTTTTCGACATTATTAACTTGTCGGACTCTAGAACAGTCTTTATACCGTTCTTACATAATAAATTTGCAGACACATGATTCTTTCTAATTTCTGGAACATGCAGTGCATTAAGCAACGTCAATTTCTTCCTAGAAGTAAATTGAAGTTCAACAGTTCATTTTCCTATAACTTTGGTGGAATTATGATTCCCCATTAAAACCTCTTGATTGTTCGTTGATGCTTCAAATGTTTTGAATTGTGTTTTATCATTGCACACATGTATAGTAGCCCCTGAGTCGAGCCACAAATCAAAGGATTTTATTGCCGCTGCCATATTTAGTTTGGTAATCATGCCAATATGCATCATTGATACCATTGCAACAATGTTATCAATACCTGAGTTTTCCACCATATTTGCGCTATTGGTCTTATTGGCATATTCCTCACTTGCTTTTCTGTGTCTACAATCATGAATGTAATGACCTTTCTTTCCACAGTGGTAGTAGACACCATTTGCATTCTTTTGATTGTTGTTGGAATTGGTCTTCTTAAACTTCCCTTTGTCAATTTTGACTTTGAAGTTCTTTTTATATTTGTTTCCTTCGATAATGTGAACTTTAGAGGAATCTTGATTTACAAAATTCTTATCACGATTTTGAGTTTCCTCTTCAATTTGAATACCCTTTTGCAAATCCTCCAAACTAATATCTTCCACCATGTGTAAAAGTTTCTTTCTATAGTTATTCCATATTTGGGGTAATTTTGTCATAATAGCCCCAACTATCATGGGATCCGGAATAACTATTTTAAGTTCACGAAACTTTGAGACCAAGACCAATAATTCATGAACTTGGTCTAGGATGAGTTTGTTATCAAACATAGTGAATTCATAATATTTGAACATTAAAAATTTATTGGTATCTCTTTTCTTCGTTGTGTACTTGTGTTCAAGTGCTTCCCAAATTTCCTTTGGAGATTGAATGTATGCGTACAGGTCATATAAATGATCAGATAATGTACACAAGATGTGTCCTCGACATACCAATTCATCTTCTTCATGCTTTTTTCGATCGACAACTATTTTGTCCGAGTCTTTGTCACTTGGTTCACAAATAGGCTCCAATTTCGGGTCCAACACATATATGATACTTAGAACAGTAAGCATGAAACGCATCTTGTCCTACCACCGGGTGAAATTTGATCCATCAAATTTGTCTAGCTTGTAGACATCTTGATTGATAATCTTCAAAGCCATGTTATCAAATTTGTTCTCCATGACGAAAATAACACTTTAAAATTGTTAGAGTAAATGTTGCAATTTAGAGAATAATCCGAATGATGACTTTGAGGTACGACTTGAATCGTTTCCTTAAAATGTTATTTGCCCCCACTCGAATGAGTTTGCTTAAGGGTTCTTGGCAAATCACTTACAGGATACAACAAAATATGAAATATTCGATTAGCAAAACATTCCCTTAGAAATAACTAGAAAGAAATTGTATGAATGTGATGGAGAGAGTAGAGAGCAAGGAATGTAGAAATAAATTTTTGAAATTGTGTGTGAAACATTATGCCATAATAGGTATTTATAGGCATTAAAACGCCCGTTCATCGAGTCCTTTTATTTTAGTTGAAGATATACAACCCTTCTTAATAGTGTTGATCCAAAAGACTTGTCTTCTATTTAGAATTTTTAGAAAATAAATTTGATTAATTACATCTTTTAATTCTACTCATACAATTTGAGTAAGCATCATGTTTTTTAATTAAAAGTTGCAACCATTCAACAAAATATACAAAGGTTGAATGAAAGCCAACAAGGCCCGTTCATCGAGTCCTTTTATTTTAGTTGAAGATATACAACTCTTCTTAATAGTGTTGATCCAAAAGACATGTCTTCTATTTAGAATTTTTAGAAAATAAATTTGATTAATTACATCTTTTAATTATACTCATACAATTTGAGTAAGCATCATGTTTATTAATTAAAAGTTGCAACCATTCAACAAAATATACAAAGGTTAAATGAAAG